TTTTTTTTTTTTTCTTAAATTCTATTTATTTTGAAATATAGAATTAATATTCAATGCATTTTTTTTCGACGAAACTTGATAAAGAAGATTAATGTAGTTGCTTTTAGATTTTGTTAAAAGTTGTTTTTTCGCAATCAAAAAAAAAACATTCTTTCGATTCTAAAGTTAGTTATTGTCTAGTGATAATTTCATGTAAAAACAGACATTTTATGATTAGATTTTGATCGAGATCATGTATGTTGATGCAATTTCATTCGTTAGTAATGTAAGTTCGCAATAGAAAAATGCTTAGATCTCTGAACTCGAGCATTTCTTTTAACTAATTTTTATGTAATAGATGTATGATGAGTTTAGTCTGGATACTCTGAAAAACTAGCGGTTATGATCTTACACAAAAAAGGACAAAGGTTTTGAGCTAAGTATGATTCCATTTAAAAAGCCTGAGGTTTTAAACAATATTTTTTAAAAATAAAATAGTCCACGTTGTTGAGAATTCTTCCGACTACAAAGTCTCTATAAAAAAATTTTCCTGAGTGGAACTTCATTTCTTGACTGAAAATTTTTAGTTATTTTTTATTTTGTTCTACATACATTAATCTAATGGCAATGGTAAAGAAACCTATGAGAAGATGAAACGAAACAATCAAATTTTTCATATTATTTAACTCTTTGTGACTTCAATATCTTCTACAGAGCAACATTCGAGTATAGGACAACTTTTTTTCTATTCAACGAAATTTATCTGCTCTGAAAGTTTCACATTTTTCTGATGAACTATTGTCCAAAAATCGAGATCTTTGTTACTCGAGTTTCTATATGATTATTTGTAAACATCGAAAAAAAAGTACAAGAATCTCATACCACATAGTAAACCAAAAGATTCTATGATCCTTCAGTCCTCTGAAAACTACTAGGTTTAGTTCTCCAAAAACTTTCCTTTCATGTTTCATTCATCAAAATTTTTTGTATGAAATACATTTGATAGATAATAATAATAATAATAATATAAAATTTCTTTTATTTTTAGCTGCTTATTTTGCTCGAAGACAAAATGAAAAAAAAAGAAAATGAAAAAAACTTTCCAAATGAAATAAAATTAAAACAAGAAAGTCAAGTTGAAAAATATCGTACATATCGTATTGGTGAATTACCTGATATACAAATACGTTATAGTGATATTATAATACCTTTACAAGCACTTGCTCAATATGTTAATGATACAGCACGTTTATTATATACAAGTTTATTTACATTAATATTAAATTCATTAGAAGATAAATTATTACCTGATGAATATTTTAATTTAATTCATACAATTCAACATCGTTTTGATGTTATGTTATCACAATCAGAAATTTTCTATCCATCATTTGTTGCTGCTTTACTTGATATTGTTTTATCAAAACCTGAACAAATACAAATATCATCACAATATATAAGTGCATCAACAATTGCAAGTCATTTAGAATCAGTTGGTATATTAACAATTGAATGTTATTATACGTTTAAATCAACAAAATGAATCAAAACAATATATAAATGGACCATTAAAGAAAAAATTTAAATAATCAATTATATAAAAAAATTGATCAATGGCTTGAATTAGCTAAATATTATCGTTCATTAGCTAATTATGATGATGTACATGGTATTTTTTCTCAAACACCAGGTTTAAAATCGATAACATAACGTGGGGTGTGGGTGTAGATGAAGAGAATACTAACACCCACACCCACACCCACACCCACACCCACCCACACCCACACCCACCCACACCCACCCACACCTACACCCACCCCACACCCTGTTTATGAAATGTGTGTTTATTCATTTCTGTTTGTGATAGATATTTATTTAATAAAAAAAGAAGAAGAGGTACATTTGAACAAGCAGACTCTTTCTGTAAAAAGGTTTTTTTTTAAATGGAACATCCAAGAGAGATCTCAAAAAGTGCGATTTTTGCTCGTACGTCACTCATGCATGATTTTGAGATAATTTTATTGAAAATTAAAAACGAAATCTAAAATACAAAGTTTATTGAACAGAAACTTTCGTGTCTTTATAATCTTTGTGCGTTAGAATGAAAAAAAATTCTTAATTTTTAGATACTGATTATAACATCAGCGCTACTGCGTGTACCACTGCCCATATTGACCAACCAATATGAGATATTATATGTAGTACCGATAGTTGTTGAAAACATTTGACTTAAATAATCAGCATCTCCTACAGCTCCATCAATGTAAAAACGAGTTCCTGATTGAGCTCGGTATAAATAACCCCAAATATTAAAATTATTTGAATTTGCCTTAATTGTACCAGCAGCTGTTGCACCGCCTGGATTACAGTAAGTCCATGGTGATATTGCACCGGTTTCAAAATCATTATTTGAAATGAGTTCAACAGTGGGATTTGTTATACTTCGTACAGATACAGTATCAAGTGCAAAATAACCAATATCTTCACGAAAAGCGAATGTAATACGAGTT